CTTTATTTCCAAATAAAATAATGAATTTAAACTTATATTTAATACTGTCATTTCCAAACAGATTTCTTCCTAGATATATTTTACTGTAAAGCTATTATACCATAAGGATAATTTCTATTCTAAGAGGATCTATGGAATTGTGGATGAGATGTGACATGATCTGTTATAAAAGTTCTGGATTAAGATAAAACTAGGTTAAAAAAAAAAACCCAAAACAATAAACCAACCCTTGACTTTAGAGGTGTTTGTTTTTGAATTGGCAGCAAAACTTTCAATCAGAATGCAAAATATCTGTAAGAAATTTTAAACTTATGCTGGGAGAATGTTTTGAACACATTTAGAAGCTTTGCTCTCACAGCCTAAAAATTGCATTTAATGTTATAATGTAGAATAAATTTTACATTAAAACCTAAGAACACAACTAAACTAGAATTAAACATATTTTCCAAGATGCTGTTCCCTTAAAATGCTGAGGATGCTGAGATGATGATGATGATATTTTGTGAATGTGCCATGACCACGACTTAGCTTGTCCTTAAAAATATCTGCTCCTTGAAGGCTTGTGAAAATCCTGATCTGAAACCTTAATCTAATTGTCAGCAACTCTAAGCAAGGGTCAGCTTCAGGTTGACACTACCACCAGAGGCAAGTCCATCAGAGTCACCTAACCTAAAAGGTAACTTTTAGAAAGATTCAGCTGCTTTAGTACTGCATATGGAAAATATATTAATTCAGCCAGTTTTGATGAAGTAGGAGTGCTGACTATATCCCGAATGTTCTCACACAGCAAATGCCAAAGAAAATACTCTGAAGACTTCTTAAGGGCAGATCATAAGTCATTGGAAGAAGCCATTTTTTCTCAGGCCTAACTCACTTATAATTCAACATCTTGGTAAGGTATTTGGATAATATTAAAATGAGAATTAACTCATTTTAAGTAAAACAACATACTCTAACCAGTTAATGCTGTGAGAGTGGCATAAGGAAATCAATGGTTCTATCAGATGTCCACAGTCACAGGCTAACTCCAAGAAGGCTCCAAATCAGGAGACATCTTGGGTCCTTCAAGCCATTTAGATGTGTTTATTTATATAACATTATGCCTCTGTCTCACAGAGTTTTAGCATAAGCATTAGCATAGTAACATCTTTAAAGGCTTGCTTTATCAAAATCACATCTTGGTTTTTTGTTTAATTCCCATCACTAGGAGTAGAAAGGACTGCAGAAAACAGATTTTAACTAACTAGAAGAAAAAGACTAGCCAGTGGGATGTAACGGTTACCAGGTGTACATATAAAAACATTGAAAAAGAAAACTGTGCATTTCAATTGTAACACTACAAGCAGTGAAACAGAAATCTCACTTTAAAAACAAAAAGGGAGCACTTACCAATTTTTGCTATCACTTGCTTGCAGTGCAATGACATGGCAATTGAAGCAGACAAGGACACAGCTAGAGATCATTAGGAACAGAGGACAACAGCCAGCAAGCCATGCAAGACCCCTGACTTCATATCACCTGATTCACCGTCAGATTCCACAGACTGAACCTGCAAATGGATACTTAGAAATCTATGTGTCAAACAAACAGACTCAATCTTGGCTATATGGTTACACCTCTGGAAAGCTGAATTTCATCTTCTTCTTTCACATATGCCAACCATTTAACAAAGCAAAAAGACAGACAGTTCCACACAGAATAAAGAAAATAAACTTTCCTGAACTGGGCAAGCAGAGACTCATGTGCCAACTATCGCACCACATAAAGAAGAAATATGTGGTAAGACTCAGTGTGAGTCAGTATAAAATGGGTTGATTCAGAACCTCGCCACAAAGGCTGCATCTAGCAAAGTTCTGCTGGGGGCAAACATTTCCCAACATACTCATATTGTTGGCAGGAATAAAAAAATTAATATATCCACTGGCAGCAAGTGAACCCTGTAATTTACAGAAAGCATTTTTAAAAGCACAGACAGATTTGTTTCTTTCTTCTGACTTAAATGGGAGCAACCTTACACCAACATACAGTGATTTTTCAACTGCAAAGAAGATGTGAGGGTTAAACACTCAACAATCGTATTCTGCGCAAAGAACCAAATGTATTAAAAAGTGAGATATCAGCCCTCCAAAAGTTAGTAACCCTAGTTTTCATGGCTAATACACTGATTTCAAAGGGACTCACAGTTCGAGTAAGGCAAATACTAGAATAACTACTGTGAGAGTCAGCCCTAACAAAGGAGAAAAAAGTGGTAACATACTTTCAACAATCCCATAAATCATTTATGCATACAACAGATTCAATTAGAGCTCATGTGCTCTAAAGTTAGGTTTGTGTATCCATAACAGCAGGATTTTCACTGAAGATCATTCATCTTTGGAATTTCACTTCAACATTTCAGTTTGGATCTTTTTCTTATTTTTAATTATAAGATTAGGAATTAATATTTTCAATTCATTAAGTTAGGTGTGTAGTAAGCACAGCTTCTATAGGCACCTCCTAGTAAAAGTGTTTCCTCCTACTCTTCATTTGTGAAGACGTGATGTCTTCCAAAAGGCAAAGTACTGGTCATCACAAGACTGAAACCTAAGATGGAAGTTTGGATAATTTTTATTTTTTTAAATATTTTTTGTCTTTCACAATTACTTACACACAGCTCAGATTTCAAACATTGTTAATTGTCAAAAAATGTGGCTGGTCAAATTTTTCTTGTTGCAACAAAAAGAACTAAGAATGCTGTGGTTCCTTTGAAAGATACATATTTTAAAATCTTTTTAACTTTGTAGGCAAATCTTCTATTTTTAATAGCCTCGTTAATCTCAAGAGGGAAAGATGTGTCATGTATGGAGAAGGGGGAGCAAAGGAGAGAGAGTGGAATCTCTTCTTAGGTTACTTTACTGTGACTTTCATCCTAAATGATAGCTCAGTTAAGAAATAGAGGCACAGTTCCACTGAGGAAAGAACTAAGTGTAGATAGCAGCCCCAGGTTTGAAAAGTTTGCCATCTCTTAAAAGAGGATTTCAGCAGAACACAGCTGAAAATAAAACACTCCACATATCAAAAAAAAAAAAGTTAGCATAAACAGTAATAAGCATCCATACATGTTTTTAAATAATGTCCTAATACATGTTAGTAATATAAAATAATTATTCATGGATTATCCTTTTGATTTTCTAGAATCAGACACATATTTAGTGTGAATTCCCTTTGAGCAAATTTTAATTAGGGCTTTACCACATTTAACTATAGGTATATAATCCCTCAAGTGAAAACAAAAACCAAAGGGGAAAACACTTTGTTCACATTTCCTTCCAAAAATATTTTTGCCTCCAAAGCTTTGCTAGGAAGAAAACACTCCTGAAAATGATACAAATGGTTTTGACATTAGGAAAAGTAAACAAGCAAAACAAAGATGGAAAAATCATGCGGTCAGTTTGCAAGTGCTGTTTATTGTTTGAGGCAGGGTTAAAGCCTTTTATAAAGACAAGAACATATATGCAACCAGACTGAAAGTGACATTAGGTTATTCCAAACACCCCTGCTCAGAACCCTGCTGCTTGTAACATTGCCATGGCCAAAATGTGTGGAGATTTCAAAACAGACAACATAATAGGAGCAAAGTAGGATTGCTGTTATTTTGGTAACCAGGAGAAATGACAAGTGCCCTAAATATTTCTAATTATATTTTTGATTAAAGAAAGAGGCATGTAGTTTTCATTTATCCAATATCTCCCAGGACTTCTAAAGTGAACTGGCATTTCATTTGTAGTCATATACAACATTAGAAGAGGCATTATAGGCAGCCAAAATGTACTTTACAGACAGCAATTTGCATGGCAAACAGCTCAGAGCTCAATTTGAACTCCAAGTGGTGTGAACTAGATCATCACTGATTTTAAGTATCTGTTAAAGATTTATTATAGACTTTCAGAATGAGTAAAGGCTTCCATTTACTGAGTAAGGCCTAACATGCTCAGCAGCAGCAAGCTTTCCTTTGGCACTCTGCCAGTGTCTCATTCTATTTCATCAGTCAACTCCAATTTCACAATTGACTTCAATGTCCAGTTCACTTCCACCTGTAACACTAGCTGATAATAGACCCCCAGAGTAGGCACTTTCTAAAAACTAACATTTTTTTTCAACCAGGAAAGTGAGTAAAGGCCACCAAGTAATTTTAATCAAACCAAGAGCAGCTAGGCAGTGATAGCTCTCAACTGGAACCAAGATGCATGGGATTGGAACAGTGCAGAGGTCAGAATTTTTGCATATTCCTTGGACAATCCCATTGTATCTAGTAGCATTTACTATATGCATGAAGTATGGGATTTTTTTTTTTTTCACAGTAACGAATTCATGATTCTAACATATCCAACCTTGTTATCAGAAAAGTAGGAAATGTGCCATGAATCTTTATTTTTTGTGACTGAAAATCTGACAATAGCCTTTCTTACATAGACATCAAAAGAGTTTATTCAGAACTCATCTCTCTATATTAGTAAAGCTGCTAATTATGTTAATTCTACCATTTACTTTTGTTGACTTTTCTCCCCTCTGAATAATCCTATGCATCTGGTAGCAGGTTGTATCACTCCTTTTAAGCACTTCCCCCCCCCCCCCCCCAGATTTAAGCATTTAATTCTAAATAAAGTCCCTAAAAGTTAAAAATATCTTGTGCAACAAACCAGGAATAATACACATTGTCAGTATCACTAATGAGGGTTTCTTCCAGGTATATACAGTTAAGCTGTGCCACTATTCTACAGCATTAAGAAATGTTTACTTTTCTGAAGGTAATAGTTAGTAAATGTTGAGACTTAATTTAAGAATTAGCAAATTTTGTTTGTCTGGGAAATTACTTAAATCCTTTTCCTTTGCATATAAACAATTATACAAATCAATACTACTTTGCATGGCCAAAATATTTTCAGGATATATTTTTCCCCTGTTGAAAGACAAAATAATCTGTCTAGGCTCATTTGGAGGTGAGTGGGGGTCTTACCAAACCGTGAAAGGATTTGTGTAAGCATGTATGAGATGATAGAAACACAGGCACTTAATTCACAGGGAAAAAAATAAGAACAGATAAGGGCTTTTTCATCTGAAATTACAGCCTCCCTCTTTTATAAACACTTTGATATCACCAGCCACTTTCTCTCAGCAGGCAAGCTGGAGATAAACGCGCTGCGTTTGTGGAGGCGCCGAGCGATGGAGCATGCTCACTGCAGCCCCAGGTGTGACCCCTGCTCTTCTGGAGCAGCAATTGGACCAGGCAATCCATCACAGTGCTCCTCCTGTCAGGCCGGGTGCTCGGCTGCAGCTGTCTGTCACACTGGTGGATGGAACCTGCTTAAAGGCAATCATGTCAATCTCTATGTGACTACTCAGACTAAGATAGAAGGATGATCTTGACAGGCTTGGCAAAGTCAGCAGAAGGCACTAGAGGACTTCAGTTACACGCTTAAAATTTAGATGCAATTTGTGCTTCTTATGTGGAGGGATCGAAGAGGCACCAAACAGCACTGTGTTTTATAGCTGGTCATCTCGGATGAATCTGTTGCCCTCGGAATGTTTTCCATAGTAAATGTAGCGACATTTCCCCAGAATGCCTACAATAAAAAGGAAATTAATTACAGTTAGGTCCAAAGTGGCATAATATGCAATAAAGCACATAAATAGGGAAATTTGAAGGAAGGAAGGGAGCAATTTTCTCTCTTCCTGCAAAAGAAAGTTTGTGTATTTGAAATATTCAATATTGCCATTTCAAACAGCAGTTTTGAATCCCCTGGGAAAACGTGTTCAAATACATGCATGACCCATCCTACTAAACATAAATCCACAAGTATCTTCAAAATCAGAACTACATAACACTGAAACATCATACACTGCATTTTAAATCAGAGCACCTCTCTTCTGTTCTTGGAAAATGGAAAGTCTGGATTGCAGTTACATTTTGTGCTTTCTGATATGTCCCTGCTATGTATTTAAAAGGTTTTCCTGGCGAATGAAATCAGAAAGGAAAAAAAAACCCAGCAAATAATTACAGTTTAATGTGGATCCTGGAAAAACCATTCAAGCTTTCACAAAGTCATACTGCAAACACCTAAAGCCATCCCTTCTTTCCAGTGACAGAGAACTGAAGTGACCGGCTGAAATCTACATGGGAAGTCATCAACAGACATGGGCTAGAACAGTTAGTCCTCCAGACTCCAGCATACAAATAAATATTTAGTAAAAATATTTCCAAAGTATTTCTCTGAACACCATCACAACATCCCATAAGCAAGATAGAATTATAATTATGCTACATATTGGCATATGAAGGATGCTTTCAAAAATTAGCCAGAATATTGGTTTTGGGAGACAAGGCATGTTATTCTCAGTGAGTACAGGCAGAAAGATGCCTGAGGAAGGGCATCTTAACCTTAACCGCTGTGGGTGAGACAACATACCTGTAAATCTCACTACCTTATTCAAAAGCATCCCCTCTGGTGGTACTAAGTGGTATGTGAAAGCGTAAGTTCACAGTCACATCCCACCTGAAAACATCCTCAAAGATGCTAAATTTTACTAGCAGAGTTGTTCTTTGAGCCCTCAGACATGTATAGTCAAATTAAAGTCACCTCCCATGAACAGAACGGTGGAAGGGTCTCCTCTATCTTGGGAGTGTCTTAACAGAGCAGTCACTCTGCAAGTACCTAGCTCACCTCTATAAGTAAGGGCAAACATAATCTAGCCCAAAGGGGGTGAACACTGCCTTACACAAAGGGTAAAGATAGGGGAGGAGCATATTCTCAGTTCATTCTTGTTTTAGATTTCCAGGACTCGCATAGCAAATACTGTGCCCACTTGCAGTATTCACGATACAAGCTTTTATATTCTGTGTCCATTTTTTTCCAGTATAATGTCTGTCATATAAGCTACTGAAGCTTTGGAAGGCATGGGTTGTGCAAGATTAATGCTCTTCTTTCCTTCTAAGACATCAGGATGGTAACACATTCCTATGAGGATGGGAGGAGAAATTGATAGGCCTGTCATTTGTTGTGAAAAACATTCCTCTTCAGGATAACACAGATGGAGACTATATGGTACGGTGTCCAATCCCTTTCCCCTCCTCCACAGAGCTTTCTTCAATAATTTCAATTTCAATTTCAATAATTTCACTAGTGGAGCAGTTTCAACATTCAAAGGATGATATTAGCATTCCTAAACAAGCATCTAATGAACAGCAAGTTTTTCTTCCCCTAAACACATATCCCAAGTCAGGCTGCAGCAGGCATTAGGTTAGTAACAAGGCCATTTAGAGCTCTAAATGCAAAGGATATGAGCAGTTTATTAATGGCATTCTTCAGACTCCTTTTTCACTGGCATTGATAAAAGTCTTGTTTGAGGTCTGCCGCATTTCTTAAGGACTGGAAGCAAGACTGTTTATAGAGATGCTGGTGAGAGAGTGCTGTTTGATGAATGCTGGAGACTATAGCTAGGTGTCAGTGCTTAGAAAATGAGGCAAGGACATGAGGTATTAATATTGTCAATGATCTCTTGACAGGAAAACAGATACTGCATTCACCGTCAGATTTAAATAGACATCAAGTGCATTAATGACAAAAGGGCAGACTTCAAACAAAGGGGGCTGTATGGTGCTGCGCTGAGCCAGTCTCCAAGTTGGCAATAACCTGATCTGAAAAGACACTGTCAGGGCTACAGACAGGCCTGGGATTGTGTGCGGTGACAGAAAACAGAGATGCTGACAGAGATACCGGTGCCATATTATGCCAAGTATATTCTAACACTGTCTCCAGCCCTAACTAAATCTGACATCATTTCCTATCGCTTATAGTATTCTCCACTGCTCTGGCAGATTATTTCTCCCCAGACATCATTACAAACTCCACTGTAGTTTTAAAGTTACTGGCAGGCCTGTGCTGTTGTGGAGGCTGGGTCTAGAGGCCTAAGGATAACCTCAGTCAATCTAAATTTGGAGTTTGCTGGAGAAGTGCTCTCATTTTCACTGATATCTCAGCTACTTGAGGTGATCTGAACGCTAAAGTGTGAGGAGCTGTCACCTTGAATAAAATCCTTAAAGTAAAGATGCTCTGTTCCCGGGATGTTCAGCAAAGATGTCGGACAGTCTGGCAGCAGGAAATGAAATCCAGCTGCTGCTGCTCGCCTGGGGATAAAGGTGCTTGGGCTAGTGACAGTTAAAGTCAGCTGAAATTTTTGAAATCCTGCAGCCTACAATTGTTTAAATTAAGGAAGTGTTGTCTCCGCAGAGATTCCCTACCCAGGCACACAGCTGTGATTCGATTGCCAGGCATATTACACACACTGCTCAGAGAGTCTTGATAAAAGCACAGTTGAAAATGTTGCCATGAGACCTTATTTATCATGAAGGTTATTTGTAAAACAATAATCTTGCTCATAAATTAAACGCATCTACTGGTGTGGTTTTTCCTTTTGTTTTTTCTCTTTAGTTCCCAGCTCCCTTTGGCAACCACAGAGAACTGCAAAAGGTTTGTGTGAGAATTTTGAGGCTAAGATAGTTCACGTGAATTTAGGAAAGCTATTGCTTCTTTTCGGCCTTTCTGCTATGATATTTTTTCCTTGTAGTTCAGGGGGAAGAGAACGTGTGCTTTTGCACACAGGCAAGGGGAGGAATAAGGGGAAAACAATACATCTGTGGCTGTTCTGGAGTTTTTTAATTAAAATATCCAGCATTGGCAATAATAAGATAAGTATACCCCCTATACATCAAAACAATACACAGCATCCTGAATGAGGTTTCTGCTCAAGGTTCTTAAGAAATGACAACACAAGGTCTCTTGAGGGATCATCTTCCCTGAATGAGGCTTCTAATTTTTCTTAAGTAGCTGATTCTACCATCACCACAAGCTGTTAAAACTATAATTATGAAAAAAATGCATTGGGAAGAATCCTTTTTAAATTCACTCTTTATCTTTTAAATGTTTTCACCCTTTGGAATGGATGTTCTAATTATGCCGGGTAAGTAATGACCTTGCAGTTGCCTGCATGTGTTGTGGTATCAGTCTTTCTTCACAAACACATTGTAATGTCAGCAACACCAGCTTTCCCTTAGCTGAAGGAAAACCCAATTATCCAAATAAATAAATAAATACATACATGCATACTAAAACACATGAAAAAGTTCAAGTCGTGTTAGTTCCTTTTAAATTTGGCATGTTTTGCATAGAGCTATGTTGCACTTGTCCCTCTATATACTTTTCTACAGAAAAAAAAGTTTAAAGATCTTCATGCATTACACAAAAAAAAGGTAAAAATAAGTTGCAATGGAATGTGCTAGACCCATAGACCACACAGCCTAAGCTAGTTACAGGTCAAAATTGAGCTCAAGCCAACAGTGACATTAAGAAATTGTTGTCTAATAGCATCTTGTCTTTCTTGCTTTTCTCCTTTTCCTAGCAAATAAATAGTCTACATCTATAAAAATACCACCTCCCAGCCACCATAGCTCAGGGAGCTGTTAGGAACAAAGCTTCCTCCAGCAGCATTCAGTTTTCTTTAAAAAGTAATTACTAAAACTAAGTATTCAAGCCCCCAAAATTTTGCTACTCTCATCAAAACCTATTGCCACATCTGCCCAACACCCCCATCAGGCACTCATTTAAACATCAAGTGTTTTTAATAAACCCCTCTGCAAGGAAAAAAAAGCAAAGTATTCCCAATTTAATTTGTTTGTCAAACACTGGTCTGCAGTATACATCAGGGATTACATTTCAGCAAACAGCCTTCAGCCTCTCCTTCAGATGGACTAACCACAGGTCATTGTACTAGGTCAGATAAAGTGTAGCACTTCACTCACAGACTCAATATTCTAGTGGAATAAACCTCACCTAACTTTAATTAGAGTACAGTATCTAAATCCTCAGCTGCTGATTTGTATTTGAGCCATATTCATCTCTTTCTATACAACCTGCTGTTGTATAGTTTTGCTATGGGCTATTAAACAGCTGCCATGTTCCACCAAGAAGCTGGGTGCATTTCAGTGTGGCTATACTACCAATCTGTAAACTGTTTTGAGACCCTTCAGAATGAAATATCAATACCATAATCGTTTTTTTCATAGGCACTTGGGCATATTCTACAATTAATGAACAGAAGTTGAAAAATTCCCTTAAATATTAATATAAACTTCCTTTAAAGGAAAATAATTCCCTACTGACAACATTTAGAGGAGAATAAATACCTATCTATGAACAGTTTAAAGTCTGCAATGCTCCTAATTTAGGCAAAGCACCTCCATGAGTCCAATTAATTTAAAACTCTTAAAAATATTTTCATCTAAGGAATAAGTAAAGCTACTTTAAAAAAAATCCTTTTGTACAGAAGTTTAGAAATTTTTCATTTTATATTTATCTTCCTGTAAATTTTAAGAACTTGATCTAGTTGTCTAGTTCACAACTTCTTATTTTCAATTCCATTTTGATTTTCTATGAGAAATGCAGTACTAGAGATTTTGAAGAAATTAGAAGCCTAATCCTCTCACCTTCAGTAGCAAAAAGGTTATATTTTTCCATTGAATCAGGAGAATTAAAGTATATATACTCTCAAAGTCACTTTAGTTAAAAAA